TTCTTTTTGTATCTCAGTAACTGTGTGTTTTGCTTTAAAGGAAACTTGTCATGAGGGAGAAATATATACACTGGCATTATTGTTCCTCCTTAGTAATAGAAAGGTCTGTTCAGATCGATTTACATGGTGTTCTGCAAATCATGTTTGAAATTCGAAGAATGCAAATTACATTGAAGTCTATAGAGGGCAAATCTTGGTAGTCAATTGTTGACACTCATAGGGCATATCGGCAAACTATTGTATTTTATGGGTTAGGGTCCAGGGCTTACCAACTCTTAGCAGTTTATGATCTTCAGTGACTACATGAGTGCAGCGTAGCATTGGAATCTAATCTGACATAGAAACCTTAAATACAACAGGTATGGGGGGCAGGTGCTTTCCTTGTTACGGGTTGTCTAAAAGGTACAGACAAGCTGAATGTAAACACAACGCCTGGCAGCTCTCAAAGAACAGGGAATGTAAAAGGCAGAGGTAGGAGTTATAGCTGCTAAATCGATTGGTATCTCTGGATGTAATAAGAGCCAAGGTATTTAAAGTGCAGGAATCCTTTGACTGTATATTTTGTTTAAAAGGCCATGGCACAGGCTTAAAATGTTATATTGAGCCTAAAATATTTTGCATGGCTCCAACATAAGCAATTTAGATGTTTATTCAAATGTTTGTTAGTCATAAAAAAAAATTAAATTTTACCTCAAAGCCTCCAGTTTCCACCAGGATATCATGAAGCAGTCGTATGTATTCTGTGGCCGCTTTCAGTGTATCCACTTTGCTAGGTTTTCGGTCTTTGGGGATGAGAGGCACAATGGTCTTCAGCTTGGAAAAACCACTGTTGATATTTCGGATCTGTTAATAAATGTTTACGGAGGTTAAAAAAGGAAATTAAAACCCAATCAAGGACCAGATTGGACCATAACTGCAGGGAAACAGTTAAATAAATCTATATTTTTACGGCTTTGGCCACTTAAAATATTTGTTGGTTTGTTCAGTCAGTCTTGTGATGCACCCACACTGCTATAATGCAGATCCAGGCGGGGGACACTTTACCTGATTCAGAAATATGGTTTTCTGTGCCACTTCACCAGATTATGAAATCGCCTTTGTCCAGTGTGGAGGAAGATGATCCAGGAAGCAGTAATGATAAACCAGGATGCATTAGTGAGCTTACTAGCTGTGCAGCATGCCACAGAAATGTTATCCCACCATGTGGCACTGCTGCCTTGTCTCTCCCACACCACACAGAAGGTGAAGTCAGACAGTCATTCATATCCTATACATCAAAGAAACCTCTGCTTGTCCTGTGACCATGATGTCGCTAGCACCAGGGGAACGTGCCCCATACCTGTCTGCGAGTGCCTTAGGTCCCAACACTGCAATATCTTTTTAATGTGCGTGCTCCGCTAGCTACTGGTTTTATGTACCTGCTGTCAGAACCGCAGCTGCTGGCTTCTGTTCCCCACCTGTTGGTCTGTCCAGTGCTATTGGACCTCCAGCATAGAGCCAAGGAGGAGTTTCAGAGCACTAACCCCAATCCTGTGCTCAGGGCTGTAGGAAGGGCAAGGAGAGTGAGGCACTCGCCTCGGGCAAAGCTGTGAGGGGGCGCAGCTGGGGCCAGCCTGGCTGTGCCCCCTCGTTCCTGTTGACGCAGCCCCTCGCCCCCGTTACCATGGCCAACACAGGGCAGCAGGGAGTAGGAGTAGCACAGTCTGCAGCTTCTCCTTCTGCTCTCCCCCGCCTGTATGGGCAGAGGCAGCGGGGATCTGAGGAAAAATGGAGCGCTGCAGCAGGCTTATGCTATGTGAATGTGAGCATGTAACAAATATAAAATAGGGGTTTTCCTCAATTTGGCTACAAAAGTGGAAAGTTAAACCCAAAAAAGTGTTAGCTCCCTTTCTATATTCTGTTTGCAGAAGCAATAAGAGAAATTTATTTATTCATTTTTAAATGATTTATACACGTCTGCAAGATTCACTTGTGGCACAGAATAATAGCATATTTTGTGGGTACAAGGACTGTGGCATGTGAGCCGTAAATACAGTGAAAAGGCTCAAAGTTTTATATAACTAAACCTTTAAGCTTCTCACACTATTTGGCTATAAGTCACTGTTACAGAGCATTGACTCAAGGGGAGTTTGCAGTCACACATGATATATTCATCCAGGGTGGTTGGAAGAGGACCACTCACCCGCTCCCTTTCTTTGGCATTGGCTGCCTGTCTCCTTTCTAGAATATCCTGAAAGTTCTCTATACACAGGTAGTGTCCAGAGGAGTGTCTCTTCATCTTGTTGATGGAGGCCTGGTTTGGTAGGTAGGCGTGATGTTCCTTAAGAACATCTCCCAGCAGTTCAGGAGGAGGAGTAATCCATAGGGCAGGAAGGTCCCTTTTCCTGCTGTTCTGAACAGCTTGCTGATTTGCCTGGAATAAAAGTTACTTAAGCTCGTTTACATTATCTATTAATTACCTAATTAATTATCTAAAATTCAATGCTGTACATTTTTCCTCGCATGCAAGAACATTTCCTAGCTACCAAGGAACAAAACATTTCATGGCAAGTTAAGTGCCACAGATGTGTAAATTAATATAAATATTGGCACTAGATTTAGAGGTATAGCGGGGTTAGAGAAAGTTTTTAAAGGAGAACTACGAGATGAGTGATTTCCACTCACCTCATAGTTCTAGCCGCCCTGTAACAATGAGACCGTCACAGGTCGGCTCAGTAGATCGGGAGGTGAGTGAACACATAACAGGTTCGCTCCCCTCTCGATCCTGTCACGGCTCTCTGCCGTGACAGGGGGAGGGCTGGATTCCCCTCTACCCGCTCCGATCTGCCAGCGCTGACTGGCGGAACGGACGGGGGAGGGGGCGGGTACAGCTGGCTCTGCCTCTAGATAAGCAGAGCCAGCTGTCACTCACGCAGCTGGGCGGATCCCGTCATCTACGTCGGGAGCCGCTCCGGCTGCGGCGTCTCAGTATACCACGAGCTGTAGCTCGCGGTATACTGAGCTTAGGGTAACGGGAGGACGCTAGTTTGTGTCCTCCCGTTACCCCAAGGAGAACTATGGGGAAATACACTGACCCCATAGTTCTCCTTTAAGTACTAGGTAAACAGGTAGGATTTCTGCTATTAATAAATATACATCTCTAAGCATTATGGGTAGCAAAAATCTATCGCACAATTTTATTACAGCTAAAGCTTTATATGCTGCAGTCTTCTGATACTCTTGACCCAAAAACTGGACCAGTTTTCAATAACATAATATCAATCCTCCTCTTCCATTAAAATACATTAGATGTACCTATCTGTTATTCTGACAGGTACTTAAACTTCTGGGCATACACACAATGACACCCCCCCCCTTCCTACCCCCAATGCAGATCTACTGCGATACCAAGTCTTTTTAAAATTCCCAGTTAGTCTTTCTGGTATAGGTGCTTCTAGGAATCTTCCAGGACAGCAGGCAGAGGATTGGCTCCTCTAATGAAGGTACCTAAAATCCTTTATAAACAAAGGATATAGTCTGTTTTATACATCCGGCAACTGTGAATAACTTCACGGCTCTATGAAATAAAGTGGCCACCTTCGATAGATGCCCAAGGTCTGGCTCAATATTACTCCGAGAAATAGATGAATGATGCTTGGAAGCCCAAGAGGAACTTGCCAATCTAATGGAGTGTGTCCTGATAGGAAAAAGGTGGAACCCTGTCCTAGTCTTAAAGGGTTGAATTATGAGCATGAGGGTTATGGGGTTAATGGTAGGCAGTCCCTTACTCTCAGGGATGGCGAAGACAGACACACAGCCTGAAGGAAAAATGTGGCAGAGCAGAACAAAAAAACAACAAAACAAAAATAATTGCTAGTAGATTTGGCATTCAATAACACTTAAAACCAAATGTTGGTCCAAACTGGAGGAAAGTCCGGATGCGGAACAGATGAGTAAGGAGTTTCAGGAGGAGGAAAGGCACAGATCAGGTTAAACTGATTCCACAGAGTTACCAAAACATGCACTGCGAAGACTAGGATTCCTGGACATAGAAACGTACTTGTTTAATTGTTGTTGAGACTGTCAGCCAGGAAGTCCACCTGTAATGACCCCCACCTGTGACAAAGGTCTTGACTTTTTGGACTTTGGAAGTCCACCTGCCAATCTTTTATGTCTGGAATGTGCACGTAGGACAGGGCTGCAACCTGAAGATTTGATAAGCTCGCTTCTCATTAAAGCAGGAGACTTCTGGTTCCTCCCAGATACTTGCTGTATGCCACTGCTGTGGCATTGTCTGACTGAATCCTGGTAACATGACCTTGCACAGGGAGGTCCAGCATGGAAAGGATAACCAAATTGCTCCACGTTTTTAAGCAGTTCAAAAAGCGCTTTTAACTGCCCAACACAAGAAATCCCATGATTTTCAATGGCCCTGGTTCACACCCGAGCAGAAAAACACCTAGCAGGAAAACGCCAGAGGTCGGGAAAAGATACTGGAGCTTCTTTTAAGGGCAGTTAAAAACGCTTTTCCTCCCCATAGACTTAATTGGAAATGCCCAAAAATGCGCAACAGATGCTATCCCCCCTGGCTGCTAGATTGGTCTCTGCAGCCTCTTCTCCCCCCGGGCTCCAGTGGTCTAAGCCCCGATGACGTCCTCCCATTTAATACAAGTCCTTTAGCTTGCATTGGACGTGAGGACGCGGGGAGACATTCCACAGCTGGAGCGGACTGGGAGAGGTGACCGGTCACATTACATCCATTCACACTGCGACAGCGTTGAGATTGGTAAATATTACTCTGTTTAGAGTTTTTGGAAACTACGTTGTATTGGTGTGTGTGGCAACAAGGATTTTAGCGTTCATCGAAAATATAGTTTTGATAGACATTTGTGCAACTGTTATGGGGCATTAAAAAAAAAAATCACTTTCAGGAGACCTACGTTTTTCTGAACCGGAGTCTCCTTCAAACTTTGCATTGCTGGGACCCTTAAAGGGGGGGGGCGACTAGCTGGACCCTAGTTCTATAGTCACCAATGTAAGATGTCAGTATTTCTGACTCATTGACCCAGAACAAGCATGCAGCACTCCAATGAAAGTCAGAATTGTTACCTCTAGATTTGTACCCAGGCCAGAAAATGCAAAGAACTGCAACCAAAGCATTATGACAGCCAGGCAGCTAGCATTTTCAGGGGAGATTAGCAGTGATAGCCACCATACTAGATATCCTCTAAACTCAGATTCGCCTTCACAGAACAGATGCAGTGAACTTAAAAGCTCAATTACACTCCCCTATCCCTTACAGCCAAGGAAGGTGCCATCTTAGCTTCTGTTTGGATTGCAGTTGCCATGGTGCTGCACATGTGATGACACAGCTATGACACCAGCCATTTGAGGGCTTCAATGTTCGGTTGAGAGCTGAAAAGACACACTGGCAACCTTGATTATTGGCATGCCTTGAAATATAAAGGCATCTATGGTGAAAAACTAAAAATCAATCTGTATTTCTATATTGAATTTCAGTGAGTTCTATTCCACTCCCAATAACCAGATCCATCTAAAAGTTTGTAAACTTGCTTATTGAAGATGCCCATAGGATGGACTTCCTCAGTGCACTGTCCTTGTGTCACAGCTCTCACAGAGCCTGCCTTCTGAGTTACAACTCCAGTATCTGAACAATGTAACATTATCATTGCTTGCTGGAAGCAATGCATGATGGGATATGTAGTCAACAAATGGAGATAGCATCACATCAAGCTGAAGGGAAAGAGAAGCAAAGCACACTGGGAATCCAGGACGACGGTGAGAGCGATGGGCAGACAGAAGGCAGCACTCACTACATAAAAGGGATTTTTGTTTTCCATGTAAGCTTTGAGTATATTCCTATTACAATGCTGATGTCATAACAGGAGAGGATATGCTGGGACTTTACAACTCCTTTAACTGTTTTGGGAGACATTACATTGGCAGGTAAAGTTCCTCTTTAATATACCGTATTTTTCGCTCCATAAGACGCACTTTTTTCCCCCCAAAAGGAGGGGGAAAAAGTGCCTGCGTCTTATGGAGCGAATCCCGACGCCCGAGACATGCAGTTTCGGGCGCCGGGCGAGTAGTAGGAGCCACTGCTCGTTTAATACGAGTGATCTAACGAGATCACTCTAATTAAAGCCGAGCAGCGGCGGCGGCGATCGAGTTCAGCAGCAGGAGCCACTGCTCGTTTAATACGAGTGATCTAGTGAGATCACTCATATTAAAACCGAGCAGTGGCGACGATCGAGATAACCATAGAGCAGACGAAGAATAGACGTTCTTCGCCTGCTCTGTGTCATCACTGAGACCGTGGCGCTGTAATCACAGCGCCACCTGTCTCAGCGGTCACTAACTGCAGCTTCTGTGACAGCTTCTGTCATAGAAGCTGTCACAGAAGCTACAGTCTCGAGTGCTCCATAAGGCGCGCCGGACCTCCCTGCGTCCTATGGTCAAAATACGGTAAATCACATTTCTCAAAAGTAAGAATTTTATTATAAAACCTTGGGCTCATTTCCAGGGATACAAATGAAAGTTCAATGGAACAACGGTCCCAGGGAAGGAGTTCCAAACCTTATCATGCTTTCCTTGCACTATTATTACAGTCCGCTCCCACCACAAGTACCCTTATTACCTCCTCTGATGGGGGTTGGTGCATTGCGGTCTCCATGCTTTCCCTGTGGGCCGATTCCAGGGGCTCCTCAGATCCTGCCAGCACCTCGGAGGCCATGGCGTAGTTGGCACTGTTGGTAGGAACAGGGGACATCATACATGAGCTCACAACATGAGATGTCTAGAACACACCAACACACAGCTATATGCATTATACATCTTCTATTACAGCTGAAAAGAATAAAAAAATCTCTCCCAATACTTCCGTCAGCTCTGCGACATGGCTGCAAACCTTCATCTGCTGTTCAGATTGGTGGAGGATCATTGTATGCATTGCTGAGGAATATTTTCAATCATGGGGTTCCCTAGAATATCAGGCAGAAGTTTAACTCAAGTTCTGTTGCATTGACAAACCTATTCAATTCCCAACCTGATTGCAGCACATGCCAGGATCAGGCCAGGCTGCTCCCTATATGAACAGGTGGATCAATCAGTGTTGCTAGTTTGTGTCCAACCTGCAGGGGGGCAGTTGTAACCTCACAGCACTGGCTGATTTAACCTCTTCAGTACCGGCATGTTAGACCCCCTTCACTACCAGGCCATTTTTCAGTGCTGCGGACATTTGACTGAGAATTACGCAGGGATCCCAACCTGAAAAAAGCAATTTCAGGGAGGTGCCCTCTGTGACACCCCCTACGCGGGGGAGGGGGAGAGAGCACCCCCATTAAATGATTAATATATAGCTACCGTGTTTCCCCGAAAATAAGACACTGTCTTATATTTTTTTGGCTCAAAAAAAAAACACACTAGGTCTTTTTTTTTTAAGTACAACAATCCACACTTATTCATGTAGAAAAGTCTACATGTATTCATGTACAAAAATATGGTGTTCAGCGCAATCGGGTGCCGTACCTTTCCAAGACCAAATTGCTAACCAATCGCTGGCCAGAATGAGCGAAGCACGCTTTCACTATCGATTCCTCACAGGCGGAGTGCATTTGGTATCACTCCGCCTGTGACAGGAGCCGGCGCTATAGAGGAGGCATTGGCTTATGTGGCTCTGCTCCCTCCAGTGCCGCCTCGCTTCCTCTAGCGCTGGCTTCGTTGGCACCGCTGATCCTCTCCCGCGGCTCTTCAAGTTCCCCCTTATGCCATTACCGACCTTGGGAATGGTCACACCTAGGTCATATTTTCGGGGTAGGCCTTATATTTTTAGCAATTCCCCAAAATAGTACTAGGTCTTATTTTCAGAGTAGGTCTTATTTTCGGGGAAACAGGGTAGATTCCTATTGGCTATTTCAATTTGCAATATCCAATAGCAAGCTGGCTATTTCACCCGCCCTCTGCTGCTTTCAATCGCTAGAAGAGGGCCTGATGGAGAACTTCAGGTCCCCCTCTGCTGATTGACAGCAGCAGTGGGCGAGTGTAATAGCTAGTCTGCTATTGGCTATTGCAAAGTGAAATAGCCAATAGCAATCTAGTTATGCATTCCTATGTATTTTAATGTAATCCCGGTCGATTTTTCTCAGGTGGGTGAGGCTGGAAAACGTTTTTCGATATGAACGAAAATTGATGGATTACTGCCGTTTTCATACGAAACAAATCGCAGCAAGAACACTGCACATGCGTAAACAAAGATCGACAAAATTCAGTGAGCTAGTATTGCATGCGAACGATTATCGAAGTCGACCATTGTCTGTGCTTGATGGTCTATTTGAGCTAGAATCGAAAGAGGGAGGAGGAGGTGAAGGGGTTAAAGTAAAGGTCACATACAGTAGTAGGATGGAGATGAAGGGGGTCATGTACAGATGTGCAAGATAAGAGACTTGAAGAGGAATACACAACTCCGAGCAGAGATAGAATGGAGCTGACATATACTATAGAGGAGAGGGGGGGAAATGTAACATGCATTAATATCTCTTGCTGCAGCAGCTTGTTTTCACCAGGAACTAATGAAGGGAAGACTCCACCATTCATTACTTCCTGTACTCTCCCTTACCTCTGTTATAAGACTTAATTCACACTAGACACAGTGCATTCCGGCCCGATTCTGGCCAGAACGCACTGCCTCGCATTGCAGCCGGCTCACTTTTTGGCAGGTCAGGAGGGGGCGTGACATGCCATTCACGTGAATGGCACCGTAGCCACGCCCTCCGGCCGCAATGCGATCGGCCGCACGGGAACGCAAGGCACATTATACAAGCACTATTTTGGTTGGACCGGACCGCAGGCATAATGTGCCTTGCGTTCCCGTGCGGCCAATCGCATTGTGGCCGGAGGGCGTGGCTACGGTGCCATTCACGTGAATGGCATGTCACGCCCCCTCCTGACCTGCCAAAAAGTGAGCCGGCTGCAATGCGAGGCAGTGCGTTCTGGCCAGAATCGGGCCGGAACGCACTGCATCTGGTGTGAACGGGCCCTTAGCAACCTGGGGCATTCTGGCCAGATAGGTGCTGCCCTCCCCCATGTGACCCAGTGAGATGCAGCCTGAGGCAACTGCCTCAGCCTGCCTCATGATATGGATGGCCCTGGTCATCACACTTTCTAAAAGGCCACTCCAGCACAACTGTCCATTTTGTAATTTAATGTTATTATTTTGGCTATTTTGATCTTCAAACAGCCATGAAACTGAAAAAATTCACCTCATAAGCTCATTTCAGCTATTGATTGCTGGTAAATATCAGCCATGTTTATCGCTGTGTCCCCAATTCTGCCAACTTCCTGGTGTCAAAGGGAGAAATAATGAGGGGAAATCCAGCAAAGTTCTGACTCTTCCCATTTCTTCCCATTTTCTTAAATGTGTTCTCATTCTGGGTATTGGACCGATGTTTCTATCGGGCCCTGCCTGTTTTTCAGTATTAGGCCCCATTCAAATTTGCTGCGTGCATTCACGAAACGTGTGTTGTTCTTCCGGTGCCACTCATTGTTAAAGGCGAGTACCAAGCAAGATGCACGTTTTTGCATATACAAATTTGTGCGGCAAACACACAAAAACACATGAAGCTGGCAGCTCAAACAGCAGCATGAACTTCTTTGCCGCGTTTGTCATGTGGAGGGCAGCCTATTGCAGTGAATGGTCCGGCCTATGTGGATGCACAAAAACAGAACAATGATTACCCTGGTCCAGGCCTGTGATGGCAGCTCACAAAGCGCAGAGAAAGAACAGGCCGAGAAGGTTATCCTCACACAGTCACTGGAAACTCTTGGATATATGAAGAGAGCTGGGGGGGAATGTATCAAAATGCACCAAAACGGGAGAAGACAGAATCTGGAGCAGTTGTCCATAGCAACCAATCAGCCTCTCTCTTTCATTTTTAAAGCTTAGCTGAGCAAACTGAAGAGAGAAGCTGATTGGTTGCCATGGGCAACTACTCCAGATTCTGCCTGCACTAGTTTTCATACATTTCCCCCAATGTGTTTTATAATTACTGTTATCTTTTTAAATTACTTTAAGGCCTGGTTCACACCTAGACGATTTAAACCATGCGATATCGCACAAAATACAGAATTGCATTGAGGTCTATGGAAGCTATTCACACCTTTGCGATTTGTCGCGCAGTGGAAATTGACTGGATTGCAAAAAGGTGCTGGAGCTATTTTTGGGCGATTGTCGCCGTTTTAGGTCCCATAGACTTGCATTGAAAAATCGCAGGTTATGTTCAATAGGCGATTTGAGGAGCGCTCTTCGCGCGATTACAATATGACACAGCATATGACAGAAACAGGAACTTAGGTCATGGCTGTTTCTGCTTCTGATTTGACACCTGTACATGTCTATGGAGAACAAACCGTGCGTTATCGCACGATCATATGAACAAAATCACTCAAAAAACGCCCCCAAAATGAAAAACGTGCAACAAACGCTATTGCCTAGGTGTGAACCTGGCCTAAAGTTGCATGTATTATGCACCAGTCTGAGTTCTGTAAGGTAAATCATGAGAGGTTGCTACGTGTTACTGCCTTATGAACTGTGTATACAGACGCATGGTCATAAATCCTGATTTTACAGAGATTGTACAGAGATCATATGGTCAGATTGTAATGTGCGTGGTGAGCCTAAGGTTGCCGAGCTCTGTCACATATACTTACAGGTCTCTAGCAATGAGCAAGGTGATAGGACCCTATTGTAATTCCTTGGGAGACCTTTTCTGTAATGCTCCTGGGTGAAACTAGATGTCCCCATATGCCCATGATTTATCTAAGGAGAGCCTAGCGTACGACTAATGTGTCCTCTGCTATGGGCTCTGGGCGCCATCTTGGGGAGGTCTATGCTGCAATTAGACACGAGCATTTGCAAGATTTTGTGATTTTGGAGAGGACGTGGTATATTGATCCCATGTGCTGGGTCACAGGGGGAGTCCAACATAGGAAGCGCACGGGACAGTCAACATAATGTAACTTTGAGAGTTTGGCCCACCTGGCCGCCTCTTCCAGGGAGCGGGTCTGCTTCTCAATGGAGTTAGATTCTTTTTCATGGGAGGAGAGTGAGACCAGGAGCCATTATGAGAGGTGCAGGTGTATCTTATGCAAGGCAGTGGCGTAACCAGAGTTATGGGCGCCCGGGGCAGAACATTTTTTTTCGCCCCCCCCCCATATTATATAAACATCCACTACAACTGTACCCCACACATATATCTGGTTGTTGTACAGGGGCAATGAGGGCATGCTGGGACTTGTAGTTCCCTAGCTGATATGTTATGAAGCTGTATTCCACCTGAAAGTACTACAATGACATTATACCCGCCCGCATGATCGGGTGGCCGCTCGGTTCGCAGTGGCTCCCTCTCTCTGACACGATCACCCGGCTCTGTCATCGGGCGGCCGCTCGCTCTTCCGAGGCCACTGCGAGCGGCCCTATACAGTGCCTGATTGGGGAGCCGCGTCTGCCTGATCCAGCCATCCCGGATCGCCGCTATAATTCGAACTGTTGGGAGAAAGCTGCAAGTTAGGGCCTGTTCACACTAAAGCATTGACCTGCGTTTTTCTGCATAGAAAAAATTGAAAACAATTGTGCAGACAGACTGTATTTTTAAACGGCGTACTCGATTCGACCACATGGCAGGGCAGTGCACCCATTGTACACTACTGATAAAGTAAAAAAAAAATTTAAACAGTGACAGCTCTGGCAGTCTGTGATGCACCACACACTGCCGGAACATGGCGTTTTAGTGGAAGGGCTATTGTGAATTGGCATTTATGGCCTGGGTTTTGGACCCTCCTATAACTGAAGCGCAGTGCAGAAGGCCCTTTAAAGATTCTAAGGGTTAGAGGAACCTGCCGAATTGGGGGTAGTAACGCACATGGGCCTACAAGACTGTAAGTAGGCCCTGGTGC